ATTTGGCTACATCTAGTCTACGGAGAGGGAAAAAATGTTATCTCCGAAATCGTCGTATCCCTTGCTTTTACTTTGCTTTCAATTTTTAGTAGTCAGATCGATTGGCAAGGCTAGGGAGGTTGCTGTCAATGGATTCTCCTGCTTGTTAGCGTTGTTGCTGATAGGACTGACTGTAAGTGTTGAATTAGTTAACACTCAGTGTGAAGGCTAGATGCTCTACCGTAGATTCAACTACTACGTTCCACACAATACAGTTGGAGTTGTGGTGGTGAAAGGGCTATTACAGTTCGATGCGATGCTATTGTTGTCTTGCGCCGATGTTCGCAACCGATGACTACCGTGTCAAATCGGTGACCTCGATGACAAATCCAAAAGTAACTTCATTATCCAGTCAATCAGTCAGTTCACTCCTTTCACTTCACTACTCTCTACAAGTCGTGTATCGTACAGTACACCATCAGCTCGGAACATATGCCGCTCCGGATCCAGGTCATATTTCACACTCCTCAAATGTCGTCCTGTTCCAGACCAACTTCGGCTACCCACACTCAGGCACGGGGAGTCGAACTGAGGCTCGGCCGATAACACTTCCCCCCTACATTGGGTGGCCACATGCACTCGTGAGGTCGTCAATCAGTTCACTTACGCCGTCTTCGTTGCTCCGGGTCTTGGCCCAGCGACAGAATAGCACAGGAACGACTTCGTAGAACGACTCCAGATTATCTAGGCCAAGCCGCTTGATCAGGACTTCCCATACCCCATCTCGCAGGCTCAGGTCCCGGAGGTATTCCACGTTAAAACCTTCATCGCCGAACGCAATATGGGCCTTTAAATCTTCATTGACTTCACGTCTGCCTTCACAGTACATGTTGCAGGGACGTCGCTCCCAGTGACACCAGCTGCTGGACTTCCATTAGGTAGTTGGAGACCACCTTCACGACCCGGGAGGGTACTTTCCAACGCAACGTTAATCTTTCCCGGATACTGGAGAGCCCGGGTCACTAAAACAAAATCGCCCAACTCAAATATCGCCAGCTTCACAGAACATTGACCATCCCGATGTACCGGGCCTTAGCGCGACTGTCCCGTTGGCCCAGAGGCAGTGTGGTGTGACAAAATGGTGATGAACACCAAACATACGACCCAGGATACTGACCAGTTCGTCCTTCAAATGGGGCCCAGAGTCGGATATCCAGGTCCTGACCACCCCGAACAGGCCAAAACATTCCTTCCATCAATACCGCGGCCGTCTCTGCTGCAGACGCTGTCGTATTGGCATGAACCGAACGAACCCGCTCATGTCATCCTTGATAACCAGGACGTATTTCAGGCCTCCCGGGGCCTCCAGGGGCGACAGCCAGTCGAAATGAATCAATTCATTTGGCTTCGTTGCATGCCGCTTCACCCCAGGGATGGGGTACCGACTCAACCGACTCACCGTTGACCACCATTCAGTGCAGGCAGGCAGTGACAAAGTTCTTCAGGTCGGTCTTCAGAGAAGGCCAATCAAACATCCCAGCAATAGATGCCGTCGTCGCTTCCACTCTCCGGTGTCCCGCCACGCCGGCATTGGCCACCACACATATACGCACTTGCATATCCAATGCATCGCCCGGGATCCAGATCTTTCCAGCTGCCGTCAGAAAACACTTCTTCTCGGCGCTCCAGGAGGTGTATTTTTCACATGTCGTCGGATGGCCGCGGTGCAATTCCGTGATCGCATTCGCCGTCGGCCACTCAAATTCTTCGTTCCATAACGGAGACACCAGGGCCTGCCTGGACATCCCGGCACTCCGGGACTCCACCAAACAGCTCCGCCGGTCCAGGAGGACTTCCCCAACGGCCCAGGAGATCCGCCCACAGGTTCTCCTCTCCGGCCACTCACTCCACTACATACGGAAACGTCGTCATCGTCAGCGCCCAACGCTGGAGCTTGTGGGCCTGGTACTTGTCCTCATGTCGCTTATCGCTCGCCAGTAGGGCCAGGTCCTCGACCGGGACAACAACTCCCCAGAACTCCTCGCTCGCGTCGGTATACAAACAGTCCATCTTGTCCGAGTCCGGGTGGGACTACGGGACCATACGTTTCAACGTCTCCTTGATTCGATCGAAACACTCCAGGTGGTCCCCGGACCACCCGACGGAACTCAGAGCAACACGCGTCAAGGCCGCAATATCGAACAGCTTCGTCAACGGGGCTACCAGCTCCGTGTACTGCGGGATATTCCCCCTCATCCTGTTCGTGGCGCACAGGAACTGCTGGAGATTCGCTGCCGTCTGCGTCGGCCCCAAGTCACACTGGCCCTGGATCCGTTCCGGTGCATGCGCCACGCCGTCCGCCGAAATCTCTTTCCCACGCCGTACTGTCCGGGTGGTGTAAAAAACACACTTCCTGGGGTGCAACTTCAGTCCGTACGCTTGGCAGATCTCAAGCACTTAACGCAACAGGTGCAACAACTCGTCCGTGGTATGAGCATACCCCCAACAAATCATCCGGCCATCCAAGCAGTCTGTGCATCATGAGGCCCCCGAACAATTCATCGACCACCCCTTGGCAATAGGCCACCGCATCGGTCTGGCCCATCAGGACTCAGGTCGGGGTCACAATCCCTACGGGAGTCATGAAGGAGTAGTACTCCTGGGAGTCCGGGTGTAAGGACAGCTGCCAATAACCCTTCATCCAGTCCAGTTTGAAGTAGACTTTCGAGCCCTTCAGGACAATCACGGCCACCTCCAGATTAGGCATGGACCAGGACTTCGGCTCCGTACACGCATTGATCGGTCTCGAGTCAATCGTCATCCTGAGGTCTCCCGGATCTTTCTTCGGGACAATCCTCGGGACCGACGCCCAGCGCGATCTAGTGTTGCGGTACACCAGACCCGCTTCTTCCAGCTCCCTGATATGCTTTTCCAGGAACACCATATGGGTGGGAGGGTAGCACCGCAGTCCCGACTTCACCGGCACAACCCCTTCCTTGAGACGCACCTTCAATGGGTCTACTTTCACCGGCGGGTCTTTCCCGAACTTCAGCCGGAACACGTCGCGGAACTCCATCAACCGGTCCCGGAGCTGCTCGACAGCTGCTGTTGGCATGCCCGCGGTAGCCGCCTCGGCCACCTTGACTCCCAGAACAATACGCACCGGACCATCGTCGTCACGCGCATTTCCCAGTTCTGGCGTTGCACACGCCATCCCTTCGTCGTCGTCGATACTGTCTGACAACTCTCCCATCCGCAGGGTACGGTACATCGCGACTGCTGGAGTCGTGATCGGCTGATCCAATCCCATACGGCTTGCTGCCGACGTGCATTCTCCAGCAACGTCTGCTCATTGTAGCCCAGCGTAAGCTCAACGGGTGCTATGGTCTCATCGACCCAGACCCGGAGCCCTCGCAACATCAGCGGCCCACACGCGGTCTTGAATTCCAGGCTGCCCAGGCGAACTTGTTTTGTCACAGTAATCACCTAGTTGTCCCCCCCGTACGGTCGGAGTTCCATAGGACCCATGACCGTAATCTCCGGGGATGCTCCTATAGCCAACAGCGCAGAAACCAGGCCTCCGGAGGCCACCGACAAATCAGGTCCTGAGTCCAGGAGTGATGCCTGAACGGGAAGGACACCGTCCACAATAGCCGGGAGCTCCCGGACCCGATGGCTGGTCGACTTACATTTCAGACAACCGTTGGTCGGTGCACCGATAGCCGGTGCGTTCGGAACAGGTACCAGGGGCTTCACGTCTCCCCTCGGGGCCCTGGGTCATCCCAGGACCTTCGACCCTGGCGGCTTCAGTATGTCCGGTCTCGGAGGTGGCTTCAACTCTTCTTTGTAAACCACAAACCACTCGCATATTCCCGCAACCAGCGCACGAAACGGTACACATCCTTCTTCAAAGGCTTGTTTCGCGTCAACGCCATCTGCTCGGTAACGGCACGGTGTAGCGACGCAGGCTTGACGGCGCCCGTGACGATCTTCACAATCGCATGACTATCTTCCCGGATCATCCACTCCTGGCGGTCCCGACAGATAGCCGCAGCCAAACCATCCAGCATACGTCCGATCCGGGAATCAGCGTCCGGGACTGACATATCAAAAACAACAGCAGATTTAATCCGCTTCTTCAGAGTGTCCAGGGCCCGGGGATCGACGTCGTAACCTTGCTTGAACCACGCAATCCATTCGCCCTCGGACAAGGCATCGGGATCCTTTACCATGTCCCATTCGGCAATACGTTGCTTCGTCGCAGGTTCGATATACGCCCTCACCGGCATGATGAACGGTCGGATCCCGTTGGCAGTCAGTGCATTCCGACTGGCTGATATACAGGCTGTACGCGGCCATAAAAACGTGTCGTTCTTCCTTGGTGGATCCCTTGAACGTCAGGTTCTTCGGGAGGGCCGAGATGTTGTGCAGGTGCACGTCGTTCTGTCCCATATCCACATCTTCCTTGTCCAGCGTAGGTCTGGGAGCCGTCCCGGATGTACTGCCAAACCCGGGAGCCGCAAACGGCGCTGGTATATCGTAACTCCAGGCGTCATCAACCGCCACCGGTTGTCGCCTTCCTTGTAGTGACCGGAACAGCCACCGTGCAGTCGCACTGGTCCTGGGCCTTCTACGGTCTTCAAGACGGTCCACGCACGGTGCACGGGCCGCAGGACTCGTCGAGAGATTCGACCGGGATCGAGTTCCGACAGAGTCCCCGTGGTCGCTACAGGGTAGCTCCACGTACAAGGAATGCTCGTTTCCTGTTCCAGAAAACTCCATGCGTTCAGTCGCTAGCGTGTCTGTAAGACAGCTAAAGAATTCTTTGTTGTCTTGCGCCAGTGCTCGCAACCGACGACTACCGTGTTCACAACATGGGCCGCACGCGCCATTTTGGCGTGGTCGACACGCTTTTCCTTTGGGGGACGATTGGCATTGTTGATCCGCCGCCGCTCAGCTTGCTTACGTTGTTCTTCTTAGTATTCATTTTCTTCTTCCTCGCTGTCGGGAGTACTGTCCGGTCAATTCCGTCGTTCTGCACGTAGCTTATCTCGAGCTTCCGCCATTTTATCCGCTCGCTTCTCGGCATCGGACTTCTCTGGCGGCGGGTAATCTTCGTCGTCATAGGTGCCTTCCATTGGGGGTCGTGGTAGTTGTTCCCAGATAGGTCCCATGGTTTGACCGCCATATCGCCGCCGCGTTTCGTCCCAGGTCATGGGCGCCGCTCGCGTGCTACCCGTGGCCTTGTTCGCCTTGGCCATCTCTTCCATCGTCTTCCGGACTTCTTCGCTTTTGGACTCTTTCACAGCTGGTAGCACATCCGTGGTCCCTCCAACTACCGGGACCAACGGTGGCTCCGTCACTGGTATTTCTTCCTCAGTCTCGCTGCTCGCAGCTACTGGCGCCGTTGCCGGGGCCTTCGGCTTCTGGGCACGATATTTTGAGTTCTTCGCCATTGCTCTCAGTTCCGTAGGTCACTGGAACTAAAGCATACTTTGTGTTGATTCCCACGCCAGTGCCAACACAAAAACCTAATGGGGGACTGCCGACTCCCTGCAAACCGCACACTTGATTGACTTGATGTTACCACGGCGCTGCAGAACCAAGAGTGAGATTCCGGCAGTTGGCTGGGACAGGTGTTCTGTTTTCTACGTCCTAGTAATACTATGCCTTTTCGTGTCGGTTCGCCAAGGGTCGGCACCCGGTGGCCTCGGTTGAGGACTACCTGTGTCATGGCGGGACTTGGATTAAGTCGCCCACCACAACACCAGTAAAATACTAGCGAACTAGCTACTACCAAACCACTACTACAACGAGATGTCCTCTGTGCCGCGCCATCCATGCGCCGCCACATCAATACTGAATGCGATTTGATGTAAGACCAGTACGGTAGTGTAGCGAAGTACAAATGCTCCGTCGAGACATCGAGGTACCGAGCATTTCAATTAACGAGGATCGAATACCTAGAACAAGCCGTAGGTGTCAGTAACTAGGCATACTACTGCGCAATAACCCCCCCCGAACTACACACTTGCGTTGGCATACGGCCAAGATTAGTAGGGCAAGTGGCGAAAAACTATGTGTATCAAAACTTATCTGGTACTAGTGCATGCTAACACTAAGGTATCAACCACGCTCTTATGCTAGTGTCGGGTGTGATATTCCCCATCCAATCTCTTGATTAACGAAGAACGCCAAGAAAAATGCTATATGGTACAATTGTTGTCATGTTTCACCCACCTTTATCACATTCACGCTTCACATCTCACAAACCTTTACCATGTTGTTAATACTACCGGTAGTATCCGATACGATCAGCAATGTGTACACGACACTGCGCGAACCGCTACCAACATAAAGTTGACGCAAACATAACCAACAGCTACTGATAACTCGCACCTCGGCTACAATCCTCAGTATGGACAATTCCACACACAAGCTTCGTTGTGTTGGCTACATGCCATTCTTTTGTATGCAGCACTCATACCGGTTGTGCAATTCCCTTGCTGATATTTTGCGTGCAAGAAAGCAGCAGTCCTTGCACTCAAAATACCAGTGAGCGCAATACAGTTGAGTAGCTTAAACTCGGCGCCAGCTTATATAACCACAATACACACTGCCACACTAAATACTCATGACACTTACCCTTGTTCGCATGTAGAGGTGTTTGGTATGCATAACGTTAGACGCGTTCGTCACGACCTGCACTATAGGTTTGCATCGCCATGCGTGGCTGTCGAAACCGCAAAGCCATCAACAATTTTATATCATGGTAATAATCGATAACATGTATCGCACGTAGGCCTGATGGTGTACAGCAAATTGCTAGTAAGTCGGAGGTTGAAGGTTCAAATCCCACGTAGAATATCTATTTTTTCCAAATTTTATAAGTTAACTACTATTAATATTAATTGTAACTGTAGGTGCAATATGCCCTTCACTACTACTGTAAGAGCAACTCCACCGATCGGAGTTATAGCTCAGATTTATACGGATAAGCCTTAGATAGGACCACCCCGGACTTATTGCTCCCACCGGCAGGTTTCATAGGGTCAGATTTATGGTTGAATAAATCCAAAAATAAATCTGACCCCCAAAAGTTCTTTAATAGGACTTTTTCGCCTCAATTTATCCATCAGATTTATGCTATCCGAATTCATAGTAATGTCAAAATTATAATCCAAAGCAATATTTAGCATAGTTAATTGAAGTTCCATCACACAATATACATAAAATTATCATTTTATTGAACTCCAAGGCGCAATCTCCACGCAGCGGAGCAACGACCACGAGAGGTGACGGCGGCGTCAGTGAACTGTGCGCTTGCACGATAACCCCCGTCGATGCTTAATTGGACCTCTGAACGCCATCGACTTTCACAGTCCTATGTTAAATGGCTGATGTGTCCACCCTACTAACACCGCCGTCGCCACAGCCCTCAATATCACAGCGACAACCTAGTCGCCCCGATTGTGAGGGCGGCATCAGCAGGGTAAACCAGTTAGTGAGCACCATGTAGATTGTTTTGTCAGAGTCCACGTCACAGTTGGCTCATGGTATGAGAATACCCATGATATGATACTTGATAAGCTCAAGGGTGTGCCCACTTTTTAGACGAATGAGATCATTTGCGGTGTCGAACTGCGGCATGCATTTCGACATGATAGATTTCGATTCAATGTGATTTGATAGTCGTCTTGTGGGATTCATTTGGTACCGCACTCGTAGCAGCTACGAATAGTCAGAGTGCGGCGGCCTGTGTGTGTGAATCGGAATAAATCTCATGGGTGGGAAAGTCTTGGAAATAGATTATTTTCAAACCGGTGGGGAATTTAAGATATATCCCTGGGACTCCAATAAATCTCGCTGTTATCCGTGCATTATCCGAATAAATCTCATTCGGTAAACCCCACCGGTGGAGTTGCTCTTAATAGATCCTGAACAAAGTGCTTTCAAATCACCAAGCTTCTATAGCTAAGAGCATCTTCACCGCGCCCAGTAAATTGGCCAATCAATAAATCTGTGTGCTGAAATATTTTCGCACCGCACCTTTATCCGGCTCAGTACTTTGCTGACCAGCAAATATTCCAGTAAAAGGCACACAGATTTGATGGACTTGTACTAGATTTTGTTGTTGCATTATTGATACCCGAGCTCTTTAGTGCGAATGAATTCGCACCTAAGCGGTTCTAAGGACACTTACATCTGTAAAACTATGTTACACGTACAGATGTTGTTCTCACGTTTTATACGCCTACCAGAATGGTTAGGCCTTATACTGTCAAATGACGAGAAGTGGCAGAGGGAAAGTAGGCGTAATGGTGAGGTGAAGAGAATAGGGAGAAGGGGCAAAAGGGGTAGAAAAGGAAAGAAGGAATAAGTCAGTAATAATGTGGATGAGAAGACTCGGGTAGAAGGCCGAGGCGGTCCTAGTGGACCTTGCCGGTAAAGTGGCTTAAGCTGGGGAAGTGAGGAGACTGAAACTAAGGCGAAAGTGTATGCTTATGATTGGTGGAAAATGCTGGTGCGTACTGAGCGCCGCGTAAAACCACCCGAAGTGGAGAATATGGTACTTACATCTTACATGGGTACTACGATGCGAAGAATTGGGAGTTTGCATTACTGGTGAGCTCATCCGCAATCAAGCATCCAACTACGCCGCCCAGCTTGACGTTTCCAACTCCGATATCCCGTCCTATTCGAAGGGTTGGCTATACCGGTTCCAGCAATAGCACGGACTTACCAGCAAAATTCAACATGGCGAGGC